CCCCCCCGCCCCGGTACACACCTGGCACCATACTTCAGCTTTACCAGATGCTGGACAGGTTCAGGTTCAAGGAGTTGAATCAGGTGTGTTAAACGAGGGGAAACCCAATAATGTGCAGGGCTCCGGCCCCCCAGGACTGGAGTGGGGCACCCCTGCCCTACTGCAAGACAGCGGTACTGTAAGGTGAATCATAACATGAATACAGAAGGAAAATGCAACCAATGTGGTTCACATGAAGTCAGTAGATTTTGTATTTTGTAATGGAAAATAAAAGAATGTGAACCAGAACAAAGCAAACAGAACGGCTTCGGGGTGAGCTAGCACCAGTATAACAAACAAAAGAAAGACTGGGAATCGAACCCGGGCCTCCCATGTGGCAGCTGATAATTCTGCCGCTGCACCACGAACTACCAAACAATTTGGTTTCTCTACAGAGGATGAAAAGAACAGGCCTCCCTCGATAAACCAAAAACAGGAGAATATATGGCAGTCACTCCTACAGGTCCTGAGAGCGCAGTGTGCGTCTGACACAGCTTAATGCCAGTAATAACACATCACCATATCCATACACTGTACACCCAAACTAGCTCAGCAAAGTTTTAAGGATGTTTAAAGCGAAAAAGGGAAGCCCCGTAATTTACTGCGAGTCCATCATTCAAGGGGCCTTTCAAATGTGCGCGTCCGGGGCAGCCAATCCGCTTGTTGCGGGGAGGATGACATCAGGGACCTATCAGGATGCCAGCTGAAGATAGGAAGGAAAAAAGACAAACAATATGTCCCTGTACGTAACAAATGCCATCCTGGAGGCGATGCAGAGCTTGCTGCTGTGCAGGGTCCCTCCACGCTGTGAGTTAGTGGGTCTCTGCTTGTTCCTGCCTCAGATCTTGGATGCGATGAACCAGGACAGCGGCATCCCGCTCACGCAGTTGCAGGTGGACGGGGGCATGACCTCCAACCGGCTGCTCATGCAGCTCCAGGCTGATATCCTGTGCATCCCTGTGGGTGAGAGAGCGCCACCTAGCCAGTCAGACCCACACTACACAGAAAGACCTCCTTTGTTTCTGCTATAAATGGAGACGTGAGGGCTGATTGCCCGCCCCCCCCATTTCCGTGTTGCAGTGAAGCCCTCGATGCCAGAGACGACTGCCCTTGGTGCCGCCATGGCGGCTGGGGCAGCGGAGGGCGTCAGCGTGTGGAGCCTGAGGCCCGAGGACCTGAGTGCCGTCACCTCAGAGAAGTTCGAACCCCAGATCAACCCTGAAGGTATGCAATGGGCGTCTATCTGGGTGCCTGACTCGTCCGGCATGAAACCAGGGACCTCGCTCACTCTGCCACACCCCCACAGCATGGTCACATCCATTACTGAGCCTCCTGCTTGTTTGTAGGTAACGCCAGCACTCGCAGTAACGCTACTCAGCTTCTGTCACCACTGAAGCTTTCTTTCAGAGAAGCTGGAACTGACTCCCTGTGTATTGTTTTGCTAATATTATGGAGGAAAATTGGGGTTTTCTTGCATGAAACGGCATTTCTCACTGTTCCACAAACTGTACTCCTTTTATTTACCTTCCATGCATTTATCATAAGTATGACAAATTCCTGACAAAACTAATCTGAAATATGACTACATCTAGCTACAGTGGGTATAGAAAAGAATCACCCTCTGTCAAAAAAAATCACATTCTGTCACTTTACAGCAGGGGTCTCCAACTCCGGTCCTGGAGAGCTACTATCCAGTCTGTTTTCAATCCTACTTGGCTTCTGATGAGCCACACCTGTTCTCAGGTAAATACCAGGGCCAGGTGTGACTCATCAGAAGCCAAGTAGGATAGAAAACCTACTGGATAGTAGCTCTCCAGGACCGGAGTTGGAGACCCCTGCTTTACAGCCTGAAATGAAAACACCACAGAACTGAATTTGTCCAGCTTTACTCAATTCAACTGATAATATCCACGTGAAAGAAAAATGGCAACAGTCCTAAAAAATTATTAAAAATGAGAAACAAGAATAACGGACTGATAAAGGATCACTCCCCTCTGCCCCCCCAATAACACCACTTATAAACTCAATCAGGTATACCCAATCACCTTCTGGGTCGCACACCAAGGTAATTTACTCCCATCTGTGATCAGCTGTAATGATGTTGAGTAGCTGAGAAAGCAGCTACTCAACATCCCAGTGTTTGGCCGTACAGCTGAAAGCAAACAAGTTACTATGGCTGCCAAGGCACTTTCAGAAGATCTCCAAGGGAAAAAGCTGTGGACAGGCAAAAGTCAGGAGATGGGTACAGCAAGAGTGCAAAGACCTTATCTATCCCTGTTAAGTCCACAATTAAGAAGTGGAAAGTGTTTGGTACAAACAGGCCCCTGCCTGAACTCGGCCAGCCCTGCAAACTGGATGGCAGAGTGAGGAGGAAACTGGTCAGAGGGGCTTCCGAGAGGCCAATGGCAACTCTGAAGGAGTCACGTGACTTTATGGCAAAGACTGGTCACTGTGTGCATGACAACAACATCACAAGTGCTCCACAAATCTGGCTTGTATGGGAGGAAAAGCCACCCCTCAAGAAAGGTGAAATCTTGTTTGAGCTTTGCCAAGACCCACCTTGAAGATTCTGAGGCCTAGTGGAAAAAGGTGCTATGGTCCGATGAGACGAAAATCGAACTCTTTGGCCTCGATGCCAAACGGTATGTCTGGCTGAAAGCCCGTACAGCTCCGCATCCAAAGAACACCTTGCTTGCAGTAAAGCATGGTGGAGGGGGTAGCATCCTGCTCTGGGAGTGTTTCTCTGCAGCAGGGACTGGAGCACTTGCCAGGATAGATGGGAAAATACATGCGGCAACTGCCGGACAGTTGAGGGTGGAAATGTTTCACCTGATCGGAAGCTGACTGCCCACCCGGCCGTACAGTGGCTGAAGGAGAGAAAGGTGAATGTCCTTGTAGGATCTAGTCAGAAGCCAGACTTACACCCCACTGAAGATCTGTGGGATCACTAGAAGATTGCAGCACACCAGGGGGCACCATCCAATCTGACTGAACTTAAATAATAAGGAAGAGTGGGCAAATATTGCTGTCTGAGAATGCTAAGTTGATAGAGAAGTATCCAAACAGGCTCAGTGCTGAAATTACAGCCAGAGGAGGTTCCACAAAGTATTCATGCAGTCTGTTATTCTTGCTTTTTATTTGTGATTATTTTTCAGGACTGTTGCTGTTTTTTCTTTCACTTGGATATTATATGTTGGATTGAGTAAATTAAGATGGACAAATTAAGTTGTTTTCATTTCAGCCTGTAAAGTGACAAAGCGTGATTTTTATTCTTTTTTTACAGGGGGGGTGGGGGGTACACAATTCATTATTATTGTTGCTAAATAGCAGATTTGATTCACAAAATATTAGACCAGAGATCATGTCTTTGGGGGGATTTATTTTTTTCTTCAAAATTGTGCATGTGCTGCCACCTGCTGGTTGACTGCCATTCTTCCCTCCCGCCAGAGAGTGAGTTCCGCTATGCACGCTGGAAAAAGGCCGTGCAGAAGGCCATGAACTGGGAGACCACAGAACCCATCACTAACGGAAACGGTACATGTGTGCGCCTGCCCCGTGGCCCCACACAGCCCACAAATGCGCCGCCACCGTCGTTTCAAGGTGGACGTTCGCGTAGAGCTCTGAGTGTGATGTCCACGTGAGCTGCAGGGACTCCCAAACCGCTGCTGTGGTTTAACATTGTCGCTGTCTTTGTATCTTCCAGGACAGTGACTTAACATTTGTAATAGAATTACTTTTGTAATCTGTGATTGAACACAAAGGGATTCCACCCCTCACCCCAGTATTATTATACCCTGACATTGGTGTAAACTAGTGGTTGAAGGCTTTTACTGTTCAGTAGATTTAATGGCCACTGAGCTCCTGTTCAGGGTTCCACTGTGTAATGTGTTGTTCTTTAATACTTGTTGCACTTAAAGGAAAAGTATAATTTCTGAAAAGCAGGACACGTGAAGGTGACAGGGGGTGTGAGTTAAACCTAGAGCCCAGAGCATCAGTGCTATTTTTAGCTTTTTATACAGGCGTACTCTCGCTTTCCTGCCTGGTATCTCTACTGCCAGTGTGTCCCTTAAATAGCCCCAGGGTCGACCCCAGAGGTCACGTGCTTCAGCACGAGAGTGTGCAGCCATCCCAGAACCGGCCCCCTGGCACTCCTGCAGAACCCAACTGACCTCTTCACCTTCAGTGTTAATCTTAATTCTACACCTCTCTTCTTAATTTGTAATTGAATTGGATGGATTTAAGTTACAAATTCTTTGAATTTTTCATTTTCATACTAATTTTTTTTGTAATTAGAAAAAATTCACCAGATTATCCTAATCGTTTCAAATTTGGTCAAACTCCCCTCTTGCATTTATTGATTTTTCTTTAACTAAACTTGCCTTAACTTAAGCTCCAATCAGATGTGTCCCAAGCCCCGCCCCCTGTCACTGGTCACATGACAGGGCTGCTCTGTTTTTCCATTGTGTCCTGAACACTGTATTCATCAGTCCCACTGTCTCTTTCTCCTCTCTGTGTTGCGTCAATCGGACCCGCGTTCTGGATGGCCTGCAGGTGAAACTAGTATCTTCAGTAGTGTCCCCATGGGATTTTACATATTGGGTAGCATGTTTATGTTAATTGGAGCAAAATACATCACAGGTTAGTGTCTGTTTCCTGTATGTCTGATTTTATTTGTTCTTGTGAGCAGCAGCAGCAGCACATAGGAGTGTGAATTTCAAGCGTCTGTAAATGTACAGTGTCTGTGAGCTTTGCAAATACGTGTGCTGTGTGCATATCACTACAAACGATTAGGACTGAGCCTGCAGACACTCTTCACAGGCATGGCTGTAGTTTGTAAAGCCTCATAAAGAGATTCTGTATCACTTACACACACACAGACACGCAGTGCTTGGCTTTGTTTGTCAGACTCATGCATGCAACTTCCTCCCATCATCTTGGGCAGAGCTGCTGTCGCACTAAGACTGTCTGTGTTCCTTGAGTGTAGTTGACCACTATTCCTAAGGTCTCAGAGGAGGGTCACTAATGTTTTGACTTTGGCTGAAAGGGGATCACACTCTATGGAAACACTGAGCTGATTCTTTTCTTTCATCTTCTTTTTGACACTGCAGTATGTGGGCAATAGCATTTGCACTCATCCTATTCTCTCTATCCTTCTCTGAGCGGCTGGCTACCACCTCCTGTTCGTCGTTAATCACTACATTAATTGCCATAAATATGTGTTGCTGTGCCCTGAGACTAATGCTCCTTTTTTTATTCTGGCTGTCTCACCTTGTCCACAAACAGGCCAACGTCCATAGGTCCTCACCCACAATGCAGTGCTGCAGAGTGATGCAAGGGGGGCAGCCTGGTTATCCGCTCTGCTCCCCCCTCACCATGGGTCTGTATGCCCCTGGGTGAGCTGTGTGTTCCCGGGGGAGGGGAAGCATTCCAAGTTTACGGCCCAGTCGCCTGTTGATCCCCAACATCACCCTGCAGATGGGACCACTGGGTCATTTAAATGTCCATGTGACAGCACCTCTGATAGGACCGATCGGACACAAAGCAGTCCGCTGCAGGGGACAAGGACACTGGTTATAGTCCCAAACTGTGATACGGATTTGTGTACAATAGGCACCGTTTGTGTTGGGGGGGTGTTTTTGCTATTAACATTATGACCAGGCTGGTATAGTCTGCTGACGTCTTAGGTGGGGATTGGACATTGATAGTGGAACTTAAGTGTAACCGGGGGGAAATAAACCTTCGCAGTACTTTGTACAGTTTTACATGATATGTTTGTGCAGCCGCCGCTGTGTTGGGCTGTTAAACACCATTTAATGGGACTAATTAGTGGCCCAAACACTGTGGCTCTCATAAAGCAACACAACACTGTTTGAAAGTGCACATGAATAAATCTGGGTATTTATATTAGACCTGATGTCTTTTAATGTTGTTATAATTATAATGGCTGACTGCTAGAAACCTTTGATCATGGCTGTTTAACGTGTCTTTTTCCTGGCTCTAATACCTTGCCATTGCTGTACACTTGTATAGGTGTATATGGTGTCACTGTATGTACTGTATTTTTTATATCAGTGCAAACAAAAATGCTGTCCTCTACATAGCACTCAGTGTCAAAGGAGTTTATTTAGAAAATGATTGAGTTCATCATTCGTCTGATTTTGATTCTAAGGATGATCTGTCCCAGCCTCTTCCTTTGTCCCTCTGAATGGCAGTTAGCATTTTGCAAACATACAAAGAACGGTTTTGTTACTGTTGCTTCATTTGTGATCCTGTCCAGCTGTCATTCTGCACCCTTGAGTCCTGTTGAGGCTGCGCTTTCCGTAACAAGTGTCCTAGTTCACCTTTACAGGAGGAGCACACATTTTTTGTGACATTTTTTTGCAATGGTGGCATTTTTCCATTACCTGTCTGCAACATATGTGCAGTAACAATGTAATTAAATGAGGAGAAACATTTGTTGTACTATGGATGTATTTCCTTTCAGACTGGCACTTATTAGTCATTATTAACAATGTGTAATTTTCTACACATTTCATAATCTGTATTTCTTATTTAGTCTGGTATAATTATTTAACTTATTTAGATAACTGCTACATGTATGATAATGAAATTCTCAGTGTTAAAAAAAATACCACATGATATTACGAGCCAGGCTAATTAGACACTCCTGGGAAACCACATGGGGATAGAAGTGATGCAGCAAACTATAGGCCAATCAGTTTAACTTGCCTAACTGGAAAAGTAATGGAAGCTGTAATCCAAGTGAAAGCGGTAGATTACCTGGATTCAAATAACATTCTGAGGGATAGCCAACATGGATTTATGGGAGGTAGGTCCTGTTTAACTAATCTACTTGAGTTCTTTGAGGAAGTTACAAGAGAAATTGATCACAAAAAGGCCTACGATGTGATCTACTTAGATTTCCAAAAGGCCTTTGATATTGTCCCCCTCAAAAGGCTCCTGCTTAAGCTCAAAGCTGCAGGGGTTTTAGGAACTGTAGCAGCTTGGATTGAAAACTGGTTAACAGACAGGAAGCAGCGGGTAGTTATTAGAGGCACAATGTCAGTGGGCCTGCGTTCATAGTGGGGTACCACAGGGTTCAATGTTAGGACCACTATTGTTCCTATTTTACATTAATGATGTTGACACAATACATACAGTAAACTGGTTAAATTTGCAGATGACACCAAGGTGGGTGGTGTAGCAGATTAATTAGTGATAGATTTCTTCAGTGAAACCTCAGGCTGTTTTAGTTGAATGATAGGGCAGGTTCCTTAAGCTTAAGCAATTTATTAAGACAGAATGAAGATGTTACAGAAAGATGTTTCACACGGCCGGTTTAGTGTCTGTCTGTGTCTGTCTCTGCCCCCCCTGAGGGTCTTTGTACAGACTCCTGGAGCCAGGGGGTCAGACGGCCTTGGTGAGAGTAAGTTGTATGAGAGGCAAAGAACATGATGAGCGATCCTGCACACTATAACAGGACTGTCGAAGCCGCACTACTGCATTTGAGCCCAGGACTACATCTAGTCAAGTAAGTGTTCATGATATTACTGGGTTAAATATATTTGATCTATGGTATTAAAGTTCAAATAGTTTAAATTAAAATTTAACAAAATACATGAATACAGCAGCTAGCTAGCTGGTAAATCAGATATGCTAAATAAAAGCTTGCATGATTGCATTGCATGATTTGTCAGTAACAAGGAGAGGGGTGCTGACCCGGCCACAGCTCTAAGATGCTCGATGGACCACAGGGTTCTTTGGAATGGTCTGTCGACCTGTGAAGAGTTCAGAAAGTTTGTCTTAAAAATGAGGAAAAACCTGTATGACTGACTGACGACTTCCCCAGCCTAGTCTCCCCTGAAGTGGGGACCTGTATCACAAGGGCAGAGTAATACATTTGGATTTTGTTCAAAGTACTGTCCTGGTCAGGATTATTGTCACCCCCCAATTGTAAGTACAGAATGTAGAATATCTTCACAAATAAATGGAAATGAACCATTTTTTGTATAATTAGAATATTTAATAAAATGTCCAAAGTTTTTCAACAACAACAAAAAAGCTGTCAAGTAGTGAAATTTAAAAGAAACATAAAATGTACACTGGACGCGATTATTGGCCCCCTTTACTAATATTTAGTCACAGAACCTTTGGCAACAATGACAGCTTCTAAACATTTCTTGTAGCCACCTAAGCTTCTTGCATCCATCTTCTGGTAGTTTCTGGCATTCAGCCATTGCTATGCACTCAAGCTCTCTTAAGTTTGCAGGAGTCCTTTTCGCAGTGGCAGGTTTCAGCTCTCTGCAGAGGGTTTCAATGGGACTTTGGTCAGGACTCATCGCTGCCCAGTTTAAAATAGTCCATCTTTTCCTTTTCCACCATTCCCTTGTACTGTTGGATGTGTGCTTTGGGTCATTGTCCAACTTAAAGACCCAAGACTTTCGCCTCAAACCTAGTTTTTGGACACTGGATAACACATTTCACTTTAAAATGCCATGATAATCTTCTGATTTCATCGTTCCTTTGGTACATTCAATGGCTCCAGTACCAGAGGCAGCAAAGCAGCCACACAATATGATAGAACTTCCACCATATTTTACTGTAGGTATGGGCTTCATTCCTTCATCTATAAACAAACTGCTGCACTACATTCCCAAAGAGCTCTACGTTGGTGTCATCTGTCCATAGAACATTATCCCAGAAAGACTGTGACTTATCTAAGAAGGTTTTTGCTAACATAAGCCTTGAATTTTTGTCCCATTCTCTCAATAGTGGTGTCTTCCTTTGCCTTTGTCCATGGAGTCCTACTTGGGTTAGTGTTTACTGTATGGTATGGGCAGAAACCACCCCTCCAGGTTGCTCCAGGTCAGCCAGAAGCTCTTTAGATGTCTTGTGTGGTGCTTTTCACAGACTTCTCTAATTTGAGTTTCTTCTTAGCACCACATCCTGAAAGCGTCTTAACAGTTTTATAACTGTGAAACTTCTTGATACATTACAAATGCTTGAAACAGGGATTTCAAGTTCTTTGGTGATTGCCTTGTAACCTTTGGAATTGTTATACAGTGGGGCAAAAAAGTTGTCACCGATTGTGCAAGTTGTCCCACTTAAAAAGATGAGAGAGGTCTGTAATTTTCATCATAGGTACACTTCAACTGTGAGAGACAGAATGTAAAAAAATCCAGGAAATCACATTGTATGATTTTTAAAGAATTTATTTGTATAGCCTAATGGTGCAGAAAATAAGTATTTGGTCAATAACAAAAGTTCACCTCAATACTTTGTAATGTAACCTTGGTTGGCAATGACAGAGGTCAAACGTCTCCTGTAGGTCTTCGCCAGGTTTGCACACACTGTAGCTGGTATTTTGGCCCATTCTTCCATGCAGATCTTCTCTAGAGCTTCTTTGGAGCTGTCGCTGGGCAACATGGACTTTCAACTCCCTCCACAGATTCTCTATTGGATTGAGGTCTGACTTCTATTTTGGTCTCATCTGACCACATGACATTCTCCCAGTCCTCCTCTGGATCATCCAGATGGTCTCTGGCAAACTTTAGACGGGCCTGGACATGTGCTGGCTTAAACAGGGGGGCCTTTTGAGCGCTGCAGGATTTTAATCCATGACGAAGTAGTGTGTTACTAATAGTAAGCTTTGTTACTGTGGTCCCAGCTCTCTTCCGAGTTCCCTCCGTGTAGTTCTGAGCTGTTTCCTCACCATTCTCAAGATCATTTGTACCCCACGAGGAGAGATCTTGCATAGAGCCCCAGGTCGAGGGAGATTGTCAGTGATCTTGTATTTATTCTGTTTTCTAATAATTGCTCCAACAGTTGATCTCTTCTCACCAAGCTGCTTGCCTATTGTAGGTTGGCTGATCCCAGTCTTGTGCAGGTGTATAATCTTGTCCCTGGTGTCCTTAGACAGCTCTCTGGTCTTGGCCATGGTGGAGGTTGGAGTCTGACTGTTTGAAGGTGTGGACAGGTGTCTTTTATACAGGTAATGAGTGGAGGATATAAGAGCTTCTTAAAGAAGAATTAACAGGCCTGTGAGGGCCAGAATTCTTGCTTGTTTGTAAGTGCTAAATACTTATTTTCTGCACCATTATACAAATTCTTTAAAAATCATACAATGTGATTTCCTGGATTTTTTTTTACATTCTGTCTCTCACAGTTGAAGTGAGAAAATGATGAAAATTACAGACCTCTCTCATCTTTTTTAAGTAGGACAACTTGCACAATCGGTGGCTGCCAAATACTTTTTTGCCCCACTGTACTTTTTGATAATAGCAGTTCTGATGCTCTTAGTCAGCTCTCTTGTCTTCACCATTGTGAAAAAGAAACTGCAAGCAATCAGCCCCTTTTTATACAGTAAAACCATTCTACATTCTGTACTTACATTCCATACTTACAACAAAAACTACCAGCAGATGGATGCAAGAGGTTTACTAATGGCAGTAAGATGTATTTGAAAGCTGTCATTGTTGCCAAAGGTTCTGTGACCAAATATTAGTGAAAGGCACCATTGATTGTGTCCAGTGTATTTTATGTCTATATTTTTAATTTCACTATATCACAGCTTTTTGTTGTTGTTGTTCAATGACTTTTGAACATTTTATTAAATATTCTGATTATACAAAATTGGTTCATTTGCATTTATTTCTGAATGTGATGTGAGCAACAGGTATCATTTACACCCAACTGATATCAATGTGGTGCATAAAGGGGGGGGGGGGGAGTCCCCCCATCGCCCTTCTCAAATGCATTAATCTGTTAGGGTTTGGCATTCATGTCAGGAAGTTACCGGTAATGTTAGTATGTCACCAGAGGACAGATTAACAGGTAGATACTACTGTTTTGCTCCCATTCCCTCACAACACCATAAGTTAAACAGAGATATATAAGCGGGTTTCAGTGTGTGTGAATGGGCTGTAAGAAAGCGAGGAGAGATGCATCGTTGCCCCCACCTACCTAAATGCCTGCTCTGTTTACCTACCTCATCTTTCTTTTCCTTGGAAAATAGCTATGCTCATTATGTTAGAACTTTATGAGAGTCTGCTAAACGATAACATAATATAGCCCCTTTGTGTCGTTAACCAGCTGAATTCTGTGGTGGCAAAGATTTTGGCGTGGCAGGCCACCATGGAGAAATGTTACCAGCAGAAACACTGATATTGAACCTTGATTCTGGTGCCTGAGACTGTTCAGTCATCCCGATGATGAGAAACAAGGGAACTGAATCCTGCCTTCAGAATATCAAAGTTTATTTAACCATTAAGAACATGTAGGAAACATGTGAGCAGGAAAGTCATGATATATTTTCACATAGTTCACATAGGCAGCTCTGGGACATTATACTACATAAGCTCTCAGAAGGTCTGCAAGCCATAGACTCAAGCCATTTTCCATCAAAACATTTTGCTATGGTCATAGACGAGTCTTGCCACAGGCAAGTTTGTGTACAGACAGGTTGGCAATGCCTAATGCAAGGATATGGACAAAATGACTTTCAGCCCTAGACAAAGGAAGAAATCCAGGGGACACAGAGGTCAGATTGAAATATTGGAGCAATTTGGCAGTCAAAGCTAAAAGGAAACCCCTCCTCCGAGAGACTGAATATCAGCACAGAGGGTCAGCTTCTCCTGGGCGAGTGGGACAGACTGCCTACAGGGCAGCCTCATCTCCACAGGTATATCATTGGAATGTAACTCATGGAAAGGTATATGTGTATTTGTGGACTAATGTTTTAATTATTTTATTGATAATGAATTTGCTTTTATTACAAAAGTTGAAACCTGAAGTTTACATACCCTGTATAACTTTTTTTTTTTTACTGTCTGACATATAATCAGACAAAACTTTTCCTGTTTTAGGTCAGTTAGGATTACCAAAATCATTTCTATTTCCTAAATGTCAGAATAATGAGAGAGAAAATGTTTAGAGAATCTTTTATTACTTTCTTCAAAGTAAAAAGTTTACATACATTTCCTTAGTACTGTATTTGGTAGCATTGCCTTTAAACTCTATGACTTGGGTCAAACGCATTGGGTATCCTTCCATAAGCTTCTCGCAATAGTTTGCTGGAATTACTGGTGTAACTGAGTCAGGTTTGTAGGCCTTCTTGCTCACACATGTCTTTTCAGCTCTGCCCACAAATTTTCTATGGGACTGAGATCAGGGCTTTGTGATGGCCACTCCAAAACATTGACTTTGTTGTCCTTAAGCCACTTTGTAACTAATTGGGCGGTACGCTTAGGGTCATTGTCCATTTGGAAGATCCATTTGCGCCCAAGCTTTAATCTCCTGGCTGATGTCTTGAGATGTTGCTTCAATATTTCCACATAATGTTCTTTCCTCATGATGCCATCTATTTTGTGAAGTGCACCAGTCCCTCCTGCAGCAAAACACTCGCACAACATGATGCTGCCAGCCCCGTACTTCACAGTTGGAATGGTGTTCTCAGGCTTGCAAGCTTCCCCCTTTTTCCTCTATATGTAACGATAGTCATTATGGTCAAACAGTTCAATTTTAGTTTCATCAGACCACAGGACAAAATTAAGGTCCAAAAATTAAGGTCTTTGTCCCTGTGTGAATTTACCCACCGAAATCGGGCTTTTTTATGCTGCTTTTGTAGTAATGGCTTTTTCCTCGCTGAGTGGCCTTTCAGCGCATGTCGGTACAGGACCCATTTCACTGTGGATAATAACACTCTCTTGTCTTGTGGAGGTCCACAGTTCTCTTCCTGGTATCTTGGCTTATTTCCCCATGATGGCACACAAGGAAGCAGTGTGTTTGAGGGGTGCCTTAAAATACATCCACAGGTGTACCTCCAATTAACTCAAGTGGTGTCAATTAACCTATCAGAAGTTTCCAATGCCATGACATCATCATCTGGGCTTTCCCAAATTGTTTAAAGGCATAGTAACCGTAGTGTATGTAATCTCTCTCTCATTATTCCGACATTTAGCAAATAGAAATGATTTTGGCAATCCTACCTGACCTAAAACAGGAAAAGTGTTGACTGATTATATATCAGACAGTAAGAAAAAAAAGGTTATGTGTCTTTTTATATAGTGTATGTAAACTTCTGGTTTCCACTGTATGTATGTATGTATGTATATATACACTCACCTAAAGGATTATTAGGAACACCATACTAATACGGTGTTTGATCCCCTTTCGCCTTCAGAACTGCCTTAATTCTACGTGGCATTGA